GTAGAACTCATACTTCATTTCCCTGATCATATGTTTCACAACATATTTTAACAATTCAATTGGTTAAATCGAAAAGTAAATTAAGAGCGGAGTTGAAAAAACATCACAATTTATAATTAAAACTTCTTATAGCATGCATTCCAATGTCCTAAACATGAATCCTACTCATTATAAAAGAAAATTAAAAGAAAAATAACGGCATAATCTTCTTATGCCACTATTTACAAAAAAAGAAGAAAGAGTAAGAGAAACATACTACAAAGCACGAAGAAAATACAATGAAAAACTTTATTAAATCAAAGCAAATTCACTAAATAAGTGTTTAAAAAATCATAAGATAATGAAGAATACAAATTACTTAATTTTTGCCCTTTGGAAGAAAGAAGAAAATCTCTCCCACAAAGTCTCTCGCGGATCCATGCAATGTTAAAACTTTCCCTTACAAATTCTCTCAAAATTCCCTCACCAATCTCTCCAAAAAGATAGAAATCTACATTTTTTTATTATTATAAGATCTTTAAACATTCTCCACATTTTTTCACTCACACACACCACTTTTTCTGACATAAAAACACCCTAGTATAGTGTAGGGACGAATTTCTTAAGAGATGCTTCAAGCAACCTTCAAAAAAGCGTCCAAATAAATTGAATCTTCTAGAAATTTGCCCAGGATCGCGTCTAAACAGTCTCAAGCGCTGTCGGTGTCATTTTGGGTGTTGTCGGCACCGTTTTGGCTTCGTTTTCTGCACTCTGACGTTGTCGATGCCGGTTCTGGCGCCGTAGGGGCCCACCCTGCGCAGCTCCCCCATTTTGCTTACCCACCACAGCTCCACCATTTTGCTTTGTTTGGCTCCGTTTTAGCTTCGTTTCATCCCGTTTCAGTTGCGTTGCATTCCTAACAGATAGAACTACAAAATAAGCATAAAAATAAACTTTTTTAAAAGTATAATTTCATTCAAAAATGTGTGAAAAATGTAAAAGAGATTAAGCATAGAAAGACATATCGAAATGTGTCAAAACATAATTTTCTTTCTTGCTCGTTTTTGTTTTAATTTGGACCATTTTTGCTTCTTTTTCTCCAAAACTCAATTTCTTGTCCCTAAAATAAAAAAAATATACAAAATATCTTCCTTTAAAGTGTAATATCATTAAAAATTATTAAAATTGAGCATAAAATATATATGAAAAAGTAGTCATTTTTTAGGCGTATCAATTATAGATGGGCTATAAATGTGTCGAGACGTGCCTAAGTAGATCCATTTTATGTAACATCCTTGCATAAATAAATGATTCTAAACATAAAATTATAATAAATAAAAAAATAAAAAGGATTATAAACCTGACAACTCACGCCTTTATGAATCCATTATGTAGAATCTTTGAAAAATTGAAACGATGACTCATTCCTTGTAGCATCCTGTCATAACTCAAAGGCTGCAAGATAATCAATATGTATTTTTTCAAACTTGAAACATCTTAAGAAATGCTAATAGTTTCTCTAAAAATAACTCATTTGTCTTTTCAAATACCCTGACATAACTACTACACTATATCAAAGAAATTCAATGAATGCTAATAAAAAAAATATATATCATTCTAACCTTATAATGTCACAAAAGTAGAATATTATGACAACATTTTCTAGTTAAATTTACTTGACAGTAATTATTGACCAAACTAACAATGAAATTTAAATTATTATTTTTTTACAAACATATTATCAAAAATTTTATGGAATAATAAATAAATCAACATTCCATTGATGATTTTGAATAAGATGACAATTTATCTCATTCTTTGACCAAATTGACTTTCTTTCACACCCTCGCTTTCTTGCTCCCTATCTCAATTTGATCTAAGAATGATATAGATTATCATCTTATTCAAAATTATCAATGGATTGTTAATAGATTGATTTTCTTTCACACCCTTACTTTCGTGCTCCCTATCCATGTCAGTCTCATTACTGCTCCCCCTCCATTCTCCCTTACTCCTTTACTTGATTTATTTCCATTCTCTCTCCCTTGCTCCCTAACAACACCTAGGCTATAATTGCTCTCATTCCCTCATTCCCTCGCTCCATCACTTTTTCCCACCCTTCCATACTTTCCCTCCCATGCTCCCTTGCTTCATTCAACCCACAACTACTCTTCATCTCTTGCAATATCTGACTTATCGTTACTCTCCCTCCTTTGCTCCATTCATCTTATCTTTTCTCCTTTCTGCTCTTTATCACTTTCTCTCTTTCTCAACCACCTCATGCATCCTCACATTCCATTAATTTGTTCTCAGTGCCTCTGATCTAAGTAACATTTGTCTCAACTATTAGTTCTAGAGTATGCCACTTTTGCTACTTGCATAATATGATCCCTCACTCGCACACCACATTGCATGTTTACATTTTTATTGCCTCGAGACATCGTATTAAAGATTGCATGATAAAAAAAAATAGTAAAGTTTAGCAACAAATAAATCATTTGTATTTTATTTATAAGGATGGTTTGAACCATAATATATCTCAATCCTAAATTACTTCGGCACTCTCTCACTCCCATGCTCTCTTACTCATTAGCTAAGTCATTCCTCTACTACTTGATCTTCCTTCATTTGGCCCTTACTCCCTCGCTCCAACCAAATGGATGTTGATAACATTCCCTTCATCCTAAATCTAACATATCCTTCACTACTATTTTTCACCGACCCCATCACTTTGTCCATGTAGCTCCCTCCCACCCTCCCTCCCTTCATCCTACTAGTTGTCACTCTCCCTCCCTCATTCCATAAAACTGTCATTGATCCCACTTCATCTCCTTTCACATCTCATTTTCCATTTTAGCCGCCTTGCACACCATTAATATCCATTGATCGGTTTTCGTTTTTGCTTAGCTAAGAAACAAGTACCCTAAATTATCATGTTATAGGCTATTGCTCTTGCCACCTTGTGTAGTATGGGCCCCAACTTGTAGGCCACATTGTCATGTTTTCACTCTCACCACTCCAAGACACAACATCAGACACCATGATACTTGATACTCTACATAGCTCGAGTCCCCAACCACACATTGATTTTGTGGTATCTAGTATTTTTTGTGTCAATTTGTACAAAAAAAGTTATTATGTGTGCATCATAAATGTATAATTTATAAAAAAAATCACTTATAATAGTAAGAAAATAAAAAGTAGAAGGTCTATAAGTTGAATATAATAAAGTACAAAATAATATTTGGGTTAAAGTACAAAATAATATTTCGGTTAAAGGAAAAATTGAAGGATAGATGTTGCTAGGTTTATAAAAATAATCTTATGAAAAAATTTAAATAAAAGAAAGTTGGATTACATCTAGCAAAACCCAATCCGAAATCTCTAGATTAATCAAATGAAAAGAATGTACATGTCCCAAGTTCTCTCTGCACCTGATCCTTACCACTTATTTTAATTTTGGTGCTCCCAATAAAAGTTTTTACTTTTATAGTGAGCATAAAAAAATTAGTTAAGACCAATATTATGCTCACATAAATAGAGATGAAACACATATCCAAGTAATGGCATAAAGTTAGTTGTGAAAATTTAGAATGAAGAAACTTGCATAGCTTACTTTAATGGAGACATCATGCTCATTGGTAGGAGAAGGTGGTATTGAAGCATTTAGATCTTAAAGAATTATTGAGGAACTCTCTTTCACTTTTCCAAATTGAGTATCACGCCGATAGATAATTTCTTAACTAACAATAATATCTCATAATAGAAATAAATTGTTTTGATGTCAATCTTATTATTACAAATCATATAGAGTTAAAATGTATTGTAACACATGGGGTGTATATTTGATTCCTTTTTCAATGAACATTATTACCATCAAATTCAGTCAACGAGTCAACCTAATGTTCAAGTGATCGAGTTGCGTACAAAAGGCCTTAGGCTCACTTCATGGTTCTTCTAAGTCGATGGTTGAGGTGATTAGTTCAATAACACCAATGTATAACAAATTAGTAGTGCCCTAGGAGCAATGTTGAGTCAAAAGCTAGTGATCAATTAGAAATAGATACTTGTACCTTTCATTGTGTCTATAAATATTCATACAACAAGTTCATATGTAATTCTCTTAGATCACAATCATGCAGAGGTGCATTAACCTCTCAATAGTTAACGAGTAGTTGTCTACCACCCAAAACTTCTTCAATTACTCCCCTCTTTATTATCTCTATAGCAAGGCAATCTAACAACCGCTTAAGTTAATGAACGTACATATATTATAACTCAAAATGTAACAATGACTACTTAAAATACAAAGATGAAAATGTGTTTTCTCATCAACATGTTTGAACTATCTTAAAATTTTTCTTCCTACTATTTGAATAATTATTTCCTTAATTTTCTACATTTTACCCGGTCTCCAAAATATCCATTTTATTTGAGTAAGGAGAGATCAAACTCATATATTCAGTATTCCTCACCCTATTTCCCACTAATTTGCAATGCAGTTGAGCTCTTAGAAGAAGTATCAACTCCTTACAAAATTGTATCCAAATCCATTAGGCTCAATGGCTTATTTACTACCAATCTCATATTAGACCCCAAAAATATAATTTCCAATTATCCAATCAGCACATTTAAATTTAAATTCAATTTCCTCATGGCAGCATGGAGATGGTGTTATCCACAACCCATGGATAAAATGCCACGCGTCGTCACTTCAGTGGAGAGAATCTCCCTTCCTCACATGAAACCAGATGGAAAATAATTAGATTAATGATCAATCCCTATGTTTTAAGGCAGCGCCACACGACCAAAGGGAAGATATTTTGAAGCGAGGAAGAAATTCGTGAGAGGGAACAAGAAGGCATCGAGCCATTTGCTTTTGAAGCATGGCGACCAGTACTATGGCTTCGGCGGCCTCCAGCTTCGCGTTCACCGCCTGCCTCACCC